GTTTGTGAGCTAAATTAAATTGGATGCTCTGTATACGAGGTCTGTTCAGAAAATAACCGAACTTTTTATGGAGATATTTAGTGCTATATTTAGGTTGGCAGCATTGCGTTGAGCAAAACCGCCTCTGAAACCACATGTTCTTGGATTGTTGATTTCTCATTCAGTTTTCATGATATTGTTATTTGAGTGCAACGTGTTTAAGTGTTAGTGACGATTTTTGAAATGTGCGATTTTCTGGAACAGCCATGCAACACAAAATTTTGCCTGAAACTGGGGAAACGGAAACGTTTCAACTTTTGAAGCAAGCTTACGGAGATGAGTCTTGCGCAATGTTACGAAAGGTTTTCACGAGTCGTCGTTAGTCAATTGAAGATGATCCTCGACCAGGAAGGTCTTCGATTTCAACTGATGACTACCACGTTCAGAAAGTCAAAGATCTGGTGCGTGCAAATCGCCGTTTGACTGCATCTCAATTGGGCCATGCCATGAAATTTTTACTGATAAATTGATCAGTTGCAGCAAAATTTGTTCCTCATTTGATGACCGAACAACAGAAAGAAAATCGTGTAGACGTTTGTCGGCAACTGCTTAAATGATGATAAAACATTCATTCTAAGTAATGATATTGGTAGCCTTATTTTTATTCAGTTTGTTGTTAATAGTGGGAAATTAGAGGCCAAATTTCAAAGAAAAACACCAAATGTTCTCAATTGAGATTTTCTTTGAAATTTGGCCTCTAATTTCCCACTATTAACAACAAACTGGATTCATTCTAAGGATCATAACGGGACACAAAAGTTGGGTTTGCGACTACGACAGTGAGACAATGTATTGACAGAGGATGTGCATTTTGAATTGATGCCACGAGGTGAAATAGTGAACTATGTGTTTTACAACAGTTACGTGAAAAAATCCGTAAAAAGAGTTGTGACAAGACAACTGATGGTTCTTGTACCGTGACAATGTCCTCGCGCACTCAGCTTTGTCAGTTCGTCAGTTTTGTGCCAAAAATCAGATGACTGTCCTCCTTTACCCTCCTTACTCGCCAGACCTGACCCCTTGCGATTTTTTTTAATTCCCAAATTAAAATCAGTGCTGAAAGAACGTCGTTTTCTGACTATTGATGACATCGTACCAGACTTTAAAGGCCACTTCAAATGAAGCTATCCTAGACTGGTTCGCGAAATGGATGCACCGCTTGGAAAAGTATGTGAATAGGGAATTGGTGAATAGGATTATACTTTGAAGGTGACAAGGACCAATAATGTATAAAATTTATAACAATAAAGTTTAAAAAATTTAAGTTCGGTTATTTTTTGAACGGACCTCGTATGCACGATTGTGAGACGTCATAGATATCTCTATTTAGTTATTGCGTAGATCTACTTCAATGCAAAGGTCAGATATCTGGAGCTGATAAAATTTAATGAACAATGTTAGATATACGATATCTCACACGTCTATTTGAAAATAGATAAACAAAAATGAACAATTGCACGTTTAAATTTAAGAAACTCATGTTGAATATTTTGAAAACAGAAATAGAGATCAGTAAAGTAATTTATTGCATTTTTTTCCACATGCATATATTCTTTTTTTAAGCGCCCTTCTTTGATTAAACGAAAATATTTTTGAATTTCACTCTTGCATAAATTAGTGTAAAAGTTTATTTACAAATTGGTAAATTACGTAATACACAATTTGGTATACCAGATAAACCTCAAACAATAGGTATTATTTGATATCGGAACCAACAAATTTTAAAGAAAGTGGAAAATATTTTAAACTGTTTTATTAAATAAGAAACATATTTCACATCTAAATTATTTACTCTAAATTGGAGGCATTAAATGATTTTCAAATTTTCAATAGTTTGTGACTGGAACCTTCACCATTTTTTACAATATTTGTGAAATATCTACTGCTTACCTTTTTAGTAAATTCGGACAACAAAAATAAAAATATTTGTGAAAAAATAAAATTGTAACCATAAGAAAATAAAAAAAAAAGAAATAAATGCTTGTGTTCCTACGATGACCTCTCAAGACATTTGTTGTCTCCAATGTTTATTTTAAAACTGCCGGGCTGGTATCACGTCGTCGGTTTATAGAGACTTTGCGTGAAACATAATAGTATAGCCTTTTTCTTCTGCAGAATAAATTCTGAAACGAGATTAAGTCCTCTGACCGGTATTTATACTGGGTGTCACAAATTAGTAGTTGAAGCAGTAAACCACAGGTTACTTGGGCGAACTTTCATTATGTCATTTTTAATTCAGGTGCCTCATTTTCGATATACAGGGTGTTTAAGTTAAGATTTTTATTAATAACTCTCTAACGTTGTTCTCTAACGTATTGAGTTAAAATTTTGCACGTGTTTATAAGGTTATACCGTCACAGTTTTGAACAATTTTGGTTAAAAAAAAATCGAGACGCAAGCGGTGGAATGGACCCTCCAATTTTCTATGGTCGGAAACTATATATTTCAGACAGAATGGGTGTTTTCCAATTTTTCTCCCTTGCATAATATTTATTTACGACTTGGTTTCCGAAATTATAGCTATCTCTTTAGTTATGCGATAGGACTCCTGTTTGCATTAGACTAGGTTTAGAATTTGGAATTCTTAAGACACAAGTCTTTCTTAAAGTACAAGTTGTTCGCCATTAGAATTACCAGACAATCGTATTTTTGTATCTTCTATTTTTTATTATTCTACATACGTAAAAAAACGGAAATCCAGTATTTTTAATTAATACCATTACTAATCTTTATGAAACGCGATTGATTAGAAAAATTAATATACAGGGTGTCCCAAAAAACATTCACCAGCGGCCGGTCATAGGTATATAGTACAACTAAAAATAAGTCAAAAGTCATCTATACAGAAACTTCGAAAAACGACATCTAAGAAAGTTACGGTCTCATTAATAATGAAAAATGTGTATTTTATAGTAATTATGGAACGAATATTAAGCAGTGGCGACTCGTTAGGTGAATCAAGTAACGCACTGCTTCACCTATTTCCGTTTGGTAGTGCAAATTAAAATTATTTTTAATTTTATATAGATTTTATAATTTAGGTATAATTCTATACTGAAAATGTATTGTGTTCGTATGTTTAATACGCAGAAATAAACAGAATAGTTGCGCGGTGAACGCCCTCTAAAAAAACATTGCCTTCGTTGAGCGCGAACATTAACCTCGTACTATACAACGTATAGTATACGCAAATGACGCAGATCGAAATTAGTCTGTATTCCGCTTCTCTTCGAAGCGTTGTTTACCACGTTTGTCATGGCAACCAGGCGACCAACACGGGAGTAAACTACGGCGTGGAGGAACGCGGATATTGAAGCAGCATTGACATCGCCCATCGCCTGCCTTTAAACAGTTTATACGATACGCGTCGCCCACTACACGATTATAACGGTTCATACTTAATATTTGTGTTGTATAATAATAATAATTTAGAAATGTTTCCCGTTTTATTGGAAACGCCATTTTCCAGATGGAAAATTGGGGACAAAAAGACATAAAGTCAAAAGACAATGTGTATGTTTGGAAGTTTCGGAATGAATGGTATTCGGAGTATAAATAGTTGTGTGGAAGTGTTTATTTAAAAAAACTGCCGTGTTTAATTGTGGATATAAAGTCGGGCGTATGGAATAAGGAGGAATTTAACAATTTTGGGAAGGTCACGCGAGGCTGTCGTAACCACAAAGCATCTTTGCATATATGTACTAATATTTTTATTTTTTATAAAATCTAAAAGAAAATCCTTCTTACGAACGTCACTTTTTCAGTAATATTGCAAATGCAACTAAAAATTTCAAGATTCATTTAAAGCCGTTTGACCTTCAAATTTTGAAAATATTCGCCTGCGGCACTTTTTTTTTCTTTTTAGTCAATCAATGAATATGCTACGTCTATTCTCAATGTCACGAGGCGCCACTAAAGGTGACATTATATTAGAAATTTATAAAGATAATTCGTCAAAATGTTCACCATTCAATGGTAAACGTTAATTAAAATTGTTTTTAACAGAAACAAATGTTTCATTGTTCAATTATAACGCCGTAAATACAAACAATGACATCATCTTCATTGTTAGGTAGAGTGGAATAAACTGCATTTTTCAGATACCCCCAAAGCCAAAAATCGATAGGGTTGAGATCAGGCGACCTAGAAGGCCAACCAATGGCCAACCACCTGTTGGGAAAATTTCTCGAACATTTTGAGAGTAGTGTCAGCGTACTCCATCACGCTGATACACGATATTTATATGTTGCGTTAATGGAATTTCTTCAAGTAGATCGCCCTTATTGACAGTATAGTTAAGAACGACAGGGATTTTATAAGTCGCCATCTAGTAGTGTCCTATCTAAGTTTGACTAGTTGTCTAACTATAATTATATATAAACAAGGGTATTGACTATGTATGTACACTAGGTTGATTTTGTCTATGCCATGTTGGGACCCATTTTTTTAAATTTTACTGTAAAAGATCTTTTAACCGACTCTCCCTTAAAAAAAGGCCAATTTGGGGGTCTGCAAGAAGTCCTTATTGCACTTCCATGTAGTTCTTCCTATGCTTGCTTGGAATATATGTCCTTTGCCTGCGACAGGATGAAACACACCTTTTTCAATACGATATTTTTTTGTTAATAAGAATTTTAAAGATTTTCTAGTAAATTTAACAGAAGAAGGGCATACACAAGCGTTCTATGTCAATATTTATATCTGTAGTGGAGGGTTATGGGAAACTTTATTTCAAAATTGAAAAAGTTACCGGAGCGACCATTTTCGATGGGAAACCCTGTACCTACCATTTTCCCAGTACGTTTTCTATCCGCAATTCATTGGGAAATATCAACATTGTTCGTTTCATATCAGTGCCTCATGCTCGAGGGCGGTGTCATTTCCTAACAGAAAGGATGTGGTTTGGTTTTAGCACTAGCCTGTATGAATTATGACGATAAATGAGATCAGTCTAAAAATGCGCAGCTGGCGTTAGGTGTGTATTTTATCGGATGTTTCCGACAAGTTTTAAGTAAGGTAGTGAAAGAAAAACAAATATCTGATGGGTATTTATAGCCCCTTTAATCCTCATTTATAATTAATAACGCAGACGGAGCAGCAAGGACGCGCTTCGAGCATACTGGGTGGTGCTAGGACGGGTAAATATTTAAAAAATGTTGAGGCATGTCTGAGTTACTTAAGATACGGTTTAATTTAATAGTTTACAGTTGCAAATGTCTTTTTTGTTTCTATTTACACCTAAATTCATTTGCTTTCTTTCTCATGCGGAACTGAGTATATTACTTTTATTTTATAAGTTTGGGAAATAAGCAGCATACGTGCTTTAATAATGTAAGATTTAGAATAACTAATAAATATTCGGATAAATTTGAACACAATTCAAATGTAACATATTTTTATTAGAACGTGATACACAAGGTATTTTTCAAGGTAATAGTTTTCCACATCCTTACTTGGAAATTTACCACACTAAGTTCTTGTTTCTATTTCAAAACTTTTTGCGAGCAGTCAGTAAAAACGTAAAATAATAATGCAATCCGCATAGTGATCACTTTCTCCCTTGGAATTGTAGTTTCAATATAAGCTGGAGTTTTTATAAAGAATTATATTTGCTTGTAAAAATTTTTTTAATTTATATTCAAATATTAAATACTTGCATTTTTGTCAGTATCTTCAATATGTAAATTAATAATAATAATTTCACTCATAATATTTAATAACTGGTCCTGTTTGAAAAATATATACACATTTTTTTTTTATCAAGTGGAGATTAATAAAATAACATAATTTTGAATATGTATGTATATATTTATGAGAATGTTAAAATGGAATCATTTCCTCGACCAGTAAGAGAATATATTGATAGAATTGCAATTAAACTGCCAACAATTTAAGGTACCTAAAGTCATATTTGTCCAATTTTTTAACTGTAAAATAAAAGTCAAACGCAGAAAAATTAGTTTTCGAAAATTGCGCATGATTATTGTAAAAAGTGATTAATGTTGATGAAATTTATGGAAAAGACGATCAATACAATGACCAACATGTGTTCCAAAGGTCGATTCGATCGATAGTGAAATTGTTGCTCCACACGCATAAAAAATTTCTTGATTCAAATGTACAACATTTGATTTTAAGGTATCTCACATTTATATATGCTCAAGAAAATATTTTTTTCTTTCAAGAAAATTATTTATTTATTTAAATACTTACTTTAAATTTCTACGCAGAAATATAATTTCTTACTTTAAAAATAAATAAATAAATATTTGATACTTACGGTTAAACGAATTCTATTCCTAATTTTATTATTTAGATAGATTTTATAGAAACATGTTCTTTCTGTATTAATGTATCGTTTGTTTAATACAAAACTGAATAGTTTTGGTCAAATGATTGTATATACTTACTTTAAGAATATTTCTGGATATAAATATTTCTCAGTAATAAAAAATATTTTATCTGCTTCCACTATAGTAAATTTTTTAAGTAGCTAAGTGGATTTTACCGTAGAAGTGGAAGTTGCTATGGACGACGGGAGGTAAATAAGGTAATTTCCCTGTCAGGGGAAAAAGCGATTTCGAGTTATAAATACATATTTTTTGAACAAATAAATAGAAATATTAGCCAGTAACGTTGCCGATGTTCTTCGGAATGAATGGCCTGTATATGTTTCAGGATGTTCTAGTTTCAAAAATTGTGCAATTTTATTAGGAATCATAGACAGGGTATTCTTGCCGACTGGTTGGTTATAACATCTATCTGCTTGATAGCGCATAAAAAAGCGTGAAATTTCAGTTCTAATTTCCAATCTACTCTTGATATATTTCCTGAGAATGTCTACGTGAGAAACAGAACCCAGACGAGAATTAATTGTGAACGTACGTGACATACCATTTTTAGAATCTGGAATTGAAACTACAATAATGTCATCGAAATTTTTGAAATTAACGTTGTTCAAAGTAAGTTTGCATAACTCATCAGAACGGCATGCTCCTGCAATACCTAAGAGCGTCACTATCACATAAATCCACTGGATTTTTATTTCTCGGGTAAAATTAAATCTTTGGTTTATAAAGATGTTACACATAGATACTCCAGAGCAGCTGTGGGCAGAAATAAACATTAACACTGTCAGAGATCAAATTCAAAGTCAGACAGAATTTTCAGTGGTATTCACTTTGAGAATTCTTTGTAATTATTAAATTACACGTAAGCATAATAAAATTTTCAGTTGTTATTTAATTCGTAATTAAAATTGTAAATCGTCTTTATTTCGAAAACGGTTAAGTTTTTTAAGGGACAAAAAAATTTGATATATTTTCTCTCTGACTAAACACTAAAGTAGCGCCCCCTAGAATTGGTAGCAAAATAGTTATCATTTTCGTAATTATCACCTCAGAAAACATAGACATACAAACTTTCAAGACAATCGGTTCAAAGACGCTCAAGATATTTCAAAAAATAGAAAAAAAATCAGATTTAATACCCTGTAGATCGATATTCGGATAAGGCTTACTCGTTCTATTTTGAAGTCAGCAACCTGCCAATAACCTCTATTCCCATTACACAGCCACACAGAAAAAAAAAGTTGGGTATACTTTTTATGCGACATATATTTTTCGTAGTAATTTGGCCTCCTGAACACGAATCTGGGGTCAGAATTGGCCCATCACGTCACAATTTTTTCCTAACCTCAAAAAACTTGTGAAAAATAGTGAAAATTGATGAAAATTTACTGGGAAAATTTGGAAAAAAATTTATTTCCACATCAAATAGTACATTTTTATGTAAAAGACTCTGCTGAATTCAAATCCACTGTCAGAATTGAGCTAGAACGTGTGGTTTTTTTTCTAACCTCAAAAAACCGAGCAGGAATCGCTATTTTCAAATTCTGAGCGGATTTTGACCAGATTTTGTATAAAGGGGTTTTTTGGGTCGCTGATTACGAATATGAATTCACATTGTAAAAATTCAAGATGGCTGATCCAATATGGCGGGTGTACTTTTTTGAAATCCACCGATTTCAGTAAAATTTGGCATCATAAGGATTGCTGGTTGATCTCACCTTCATTAATCACACATCTGGAGCCAGATTTTCATAAATCAAGGTAAAATTTGTAGGCAGAGTCATAATTTTAGGCCGAGTAGGCGGCATTTTTTCGGCAAAGTCACATTTTTAGATTGAAGGCATAAGCAGATGCAGTGATGTGCTGTGTGGCAGTAATGTGTCCTTTTCCTTGAACTTTAAAATTATTAAGAAATAAAAGCATCTAAATGCCATAGGAAAACTGCATAGTAGTTAAAAAAATCTGATTGGAAAACCATAAGCCCATGCACGACTAAATAAATGAAAGAATAAAGTAGAAACTTTTTTGTCTTGTCCCATGGAAACAAGCACATCACACTACACATCATTACATGTGTAGAGTCCTTAAGTCATTTTTTTAAGCGAAGTCACATTTTTAGACGGAGTGGAATCTTTTACCTTGATTTATGAAAATCTGGCTCCAGATGTGTGATTAATGAAGGTGAGATCAACCAGCAATCCTTATGATGCCAAATTTTACTGAAATCGGTGGATTTCAAAAAAGTACACCCGCCATATTGGATCAGCCATCTTGAATTTTTACAATGTGAATTCATATTCGTAATCAGCGACCCAAAAAACCCCTTTATATAAAATCTGGTCAAAATCCGCTCAGAATTTGAAAATAGCGATTCCTGCTCGGTTTTTTGAGGTTAAAAAAAAAACCACACGTTCTAGCTCAATTCTGACAGTGGATTTGAATTCAGCAGAGTCTTTTACATAAAAATGTACTATTTGATGTGGAAATAAATTATTTTCCAAATTTTCCCAGTAAATTTTCATCAATTTTCACTATTTTTACAAGTTTTTTGATGTTAGGAAAAAATTACTACGAAAAATATATGTCGCATAAAAAGTATACCCAATTTTTTTTTTCTGTGTGGCTGTGTTATCAATTAATCACCCTGTATATCCATTGCCCCTTATCTCCTGACCTTCTCCCACTACTCCATAAAACCCTAGCAAAATCATAACTCAAATAAAGATAATAGGGAGATCAGTGCCCACAGTAACAAAAATCACATTAACCACCTTGAAGCTTGTAAATTTTATTAGACGTGAAAATGTAAATATGAATAAAAATGTGAATTATTAATTATGAAATCGGCAGAAAGGTGCATTTTCATGCATATAGGGTATTTTTGCATTGTTCCAATAGTACATGCCACATGGTACTGTTAGATAGATGCACTTTTAACCAATGTCGCGAGTACTGCGCCTCCGATCTTCCTCAACGAGGTTTATGATGTTTTCTTCGTTGTCGAAAACATGTTGCGGGCTTTCTCGTCCAGGACCTTAAAATGTCAAGTCGACATTCCCAGTATCCCATAACCTTTGAACAGTCTTTAGCACTGTTCTACTGTTAGGTTATCGTCTGTTACGGTAACGGACCGCGTACAAACGACAAGTCTCATTTAAATTGTACTGACATTCCCCGTACATTAATATCATATCTGCTAGTTCTGGATCAGAAAACATTTTATACGCCGGCTAAGTAATACTGCAACATATAACTAAAGAACACGAGATATACATCAGATTTGCTTGATTGAGAAAGTCACGTGGAACGTCAGCCAATTAGAGAAGCGTTTCACGCATGTAGCGAGTCCGAAGCATTCTGTCCGTGCACGTGCACAAGATGCACAGGTTCGGCTTTTTTTACTTCATTTTCTAGTAAACAAAAACATTTATACCATCAGTTGCTTAACAAAAGTTGCTCATTATCGTGCTCTCTATCGCCTTTTTCGCGGAACGCACGTATTTCAGGAACACCTTGTATATACGCCTATATGACATGCGCGTGGGCACACCAGTTACTATATGATTGCCACACCACGAACAATAATTGTAATAGAGATATTATTTGAGAGTGTGGTAAAATAGTCTCGTGTGCTCGTCAGTCGGATCAGTTTCATCTTGTCTGCGCAAGACGTCACCTGAGACCAGCTCGTCAAATTTGTACTATACAAGTACAAATATAGTATAAAATGTATTCACACAACGATAACGATATATTATATAACGAGCGTTCAAATAAAAACGTGGTCAAGTTGGTTCTGAAAATTTGGACGTAGGGCGTAGCGTATAGCAAATGAACTTAAACGTCATCTGTCAAAGCGCTATATCGCCGCTATCAATTTGAATATTTTCGTTTTAAAAAGCGTTTAAAATGGTTTTCTCAAGAACAAAAAGTGTTTATCATAGAGTCCTACTTTAGAAATGGACGCAAGATTGATGGAATATGGAAGTATTCTATTGAGGAATGTTTCATAGAATTTCAAAATCAATTTCCCGGCGCTGTTGAGTACAAAATTTTTCAAAGAGCAGTTCAGCGTTGTGTTAATGTAAGAAAAGAAGGAAGCGGCCGACCTAAAAAGCGGACTGAAGAATTAAAAGAAAATGTCCAACAAATAATGGAAAATGCGCCAAGAACTTCTGTACGTGTTTTATCACAAATGGTGGGAGTATCAGTCGGTACCTGCCACACAGTGTTAAAAAAAGATTTGCGTTTGTTCTCATATCGTTTAACTTGTCAGCAAGAACTTCATGAAGTTGATTTTCCGCGACGGGCTGTATTTTGTGAATGGTTTTTAAACAACTACGGTGAACTTCATAATATCACCTTTTTTTCTGATGAAGCCTGATTTAATTTAAGTGGATACGTAAACTCACAGAATATGAGAATGTGGTCTTCTGAAAAACCAGATAACTTTTTTGTCGAGGGCCCTCTACACGCTCAAAAAATTGGAGTTTGGTGTGCTCTCAATCGAAGGAGGATTTATGGACCTATTTTTTTTAATGGTACTCTTACTGCGCAAAGGTATAGAGTAGAATTTATCGCTCCTTTTGTTAACCAGCTGGAAGAAAACGAAATTACAAACTTTTACTTTCAACAAGATGGCGCAAGGGCACATACGGCAGGCGAGACGATGAATATGTTGAGGGAAGTTTTCCAAAATCGACTAATAAGTCTCAATGCTGAACATGAATTTCCACCGAGGTCATGTGATATTACGCCGGGTGATTTCTTTTTGTGGCCTTACCTTAAAAACACTATTTTTGAACTGCCTATTCCTGATTTAAACCATCTGCGGGCTCGACTTATAGACAAGATTCGTGAAATTAACAATACCCCGAGCATCTTAGAAAATGTCTTTAATTATTTGAGGAACAGGTGTGAAAAGTGCTTGGAACAAGGAGGGGGACACTTTCCGCAGCTCCTTTAATTGTTTGTTATTGTTATCAGGATTATTCTTTAAAATAAAGTTATATAGTCATTAACGTTATTGAAACTGACAGCTGCTATACAGCTCGTTGAGAAATGAGGTTAAGTTGGTCGCTATAAGCTACTCCCTACGTCCAATGTGTCAGAGCCAACTTCGACCACGTTTTTATTTGAACGCTCGTTACATATAAAGAGACGGTTTATGTTGAAATCTCTAATTTTCACATTTACAAATGGTACGAATTCTGTTTAAAAAGGCATTTTAAGCAAGTAGGGTCTAAACGTGAACATAACCCTAAATATTTTATCAAGTTTGAAGATTGAAACGAAGTTACTTGTTTTGCATAATGAAATGAATGATGTGAAGATGTTTAGGTTGTAACAGCTCTGGCTTTTTTGAAAAATGGCAGAAAGTTACAGTTTCATGCTCCGATTTCGTCACACTTGTTCTTAAGTGACGTCACCACATACCATTTTCACACCACGTTTAAGAACATTAGACATAACCGTAGCGTAGGGTAATATGTCCAATATGCACAATACAAATTTGTTTTATTTCAGATGCCGGACAGCCTGTTACTTCCCGCGAGCTATATCGTGATGGCGGAGGCCGAGCCCGACCTAAGCACCTTCGAGAACAAGTCCGGCCTGGCGGAGGACATGAAGTTCCTGGCGTCAATGCCGGAGCTCTGCGATGTCACCTTCCTCGTCGGCGACACGCGGGAGCCCGTGTGCGCCGTCAAGGCCGTGCTCGCCGCCAGGTCCAGGGTGTTCCACAAGATGCTCTACCAGGTGAGTAGAGCAAGGTCCACAAAGAGGTCGCTGAGGAAGTCGATGGTAGGATCTATGAAAGTAATGGTTTTTATTTATTTTTTTTTTCAAAGCTTTGGACTAACCACCCGCAGATTTATTAACAATAATTTAGGTAACGATTGTATTGAAAATTATGGACAACTTCTGAGAAATACTTATATATAAGCATTTGTTTTATTTATCTTAGATTAGAAGTGAAAAATTTTCTGTAATTTTTAATGCAAGAATATATACTTTAACAAAACCTACTAACAATTAAAGCAAGTGACTCGAAAATCATAGGCGCCGTTTACAGAGAATCCAAGAGAGGGAAATTTAAAATATCAGAACACATAATTTTCTAAGTCTAAAGTCTTTGAGTAAATCGTATATCCCGTACAATTAAGGGATATATTTTAATAGTTATCAATACAGTTACTTGATATTGATGGCATTGAAAAAAATAAGAAGAGTTCTAAAATTATTTTTTCCCCGTCACCAGAATTTAGTTTGAATGAACAAAATGCTCTTCCTGTTTCTACAGCCTAGATAGGAAATTACAGCATTTTACTTATCCTAATCCTTACACTGTAGCATACAAAAACAGTTTGCGCAACTTTTTAATTTTCTTAGGAGGGCTCTATGCTCTATATTAAACAGGCAACCAGCAATACATTTTTATAGATTTTATTACACAGTTTGTCTAAATATGAATTAATGCCCAAATAACAGACTTTCCTCCAATCCAACGCAGATTTTCTACACAATGGAGTTAGTTTGAAACTCAAATTACTTTTACTTTTACATTAGGACTGTTAAAAATCATGACCCTTTACTAGTTTTTGAATTATGACAGATATGTTACTTTTCCCTTTAATAATTTCGTTCTGTTTACCAAATAAGAAGGTCTTGAGGTTAAACTGTTGTATTTTAATGTTGATTGTTTAATTACACAGCCACACAGAAAAAAAAAAGTTGGGTATACTTTTTATGCGACATATATTTTTCGTGGTAATTTGGCCTCTTGAACACGAATCTGGTGTCAGAATTGGCCCATCACGTCACAATTTTTTCCTAACCTCAAAAAACTTGTGAAAATTGATGAAAATTTACTGGGAAAATTTGGAAAAAAATTTATTTCCACATCAAATAGTACATTTTTATGTAAAAGACTCTGCTGAATTCAAATCCACTGTCAGAATTGAGCTAGAACGTGTGGTTTTTTTTCTAACCTCAAAAAACCGAGCAGGAATCGCTATTTTCAAATTCTGAGCGGATTTTGACCAGATTTTGTATAAAGGGGTTTTTTGGGTCGCTGATTACGAATATGAATTCACATTGTAAAAATTCAAGATGGCTGATCCAATATGGCGGGTGTACTTTTTTGAAATCCACCGATTTCAGTAAAATTTGGCATCATAAGGATTGCTGGTTGATCTCACCTTCATTAATCACACATCTGGAGCCAGATTTTCATAAATCAAGGTAAAATTTGTAGGCAGAGTCATAATTTTAGGCCGAGTAGGCGGCATTTTTTCGGCAAAGTCACATTTTTAGATTGAAGGCATAAGCAGATGCAGTGATGTGCTGTGTGGCAGTAATGTGTCCTTTTCCTTGAACTTTAAAATTATTAAGAAATAAAAGCATCTAAATGCCATAGGAAAACTGCATAGTAGTTAAAAAAATCTGATTGGAAAACCATAAGCCCATGCACGACTAAATAAATGAAAGAATAAAGTAGAAACTTTTTTGTCTTGTCCCATGGAAACAAGCACATCACACTACACATCATTACATGTGTAGAGTCCTTAAGTCATTTTTTTAAGCGAAGTCACATTTTTAGACGGAGTGGAATCTTTTACCTTGATTTATGAAAATCTGGCTCCAGATGTGTGATTAATGAAGGTGAGATCAACCAGCAATCCTTATGATGCCAAATTTTACTGAAATCGGTGGATTTCAAAAAAGTACACCCGCCATATTGGATCAGCCATCTTGAATTTTTACAATGTGAATTCATATTCGTAATCAGCGACCCAAAAAACCCCTTTATACAAAATCTGGTCAAAATCCGCTCAGAATTTGAAAATAGCGATTCCTGCTCGGTTTTTTGAGGTTAGAAAAAAAACCACACGTTCTAGCTCAATTCTGACAGTGGATTTGAATTCAGCAGAGTCTTTTACATATATATGTACTATTTGATGTGGAAATAAAATTTTTTCCAAATTTTCCCAGTAAATTTTCATCAATTTTCACTATTTTTCACAAGTTTTTTGAGGTTAGGAAAAAATTGTGACATGATGCGCCAATTCTGACCCCAGGTTCGTGTTCAGAAGGCCAAATTACTACAAAAAATATATGTCGCATAAAAAGTATACCCAACTTTTTTTTTTCTGTGTGGCTGTGTTATCAATAAAAATTGTTCGATTTACTCTTGGACCTTCACCGAGTGGTGTGAAAAATAACACCACCACCCTAATTTAATTTTTTATTTAACAAATTTTTACCGAATTATTTTCGAGGGTCCTAGAAATCACGCCCTAAAAAATCGTATGGATCTCACGCTTTATTATTAAAATATGATCATAGTGAAATATGAATTTTCACTAGCTGCCACAGGTTGTAAGCGGTTCTTTTTAAAGAGAAATAGATGTTTTTAAAATAATTTTAGACTCAATTTTTTTCAATACACTTAGAAAATAAGTACCTACCACCTACCTAAGTGTAATGCCCCTCTACTCTTTGTTATACAGCGTGATAACTCTGCATCTACTGTTGCTTCTTTTATTAACTATTACTGGACTTCTAGAAAGGGGGTAATTTCCCCTCTTTACCTTTTCTAAACGGCGCCTATGGTGAAGAGAGTTTCTAATGCTTGTGCAATGCTTACATAAAAATATTTTGTATTTGCTTAAAGGTAATACTTATAAGTAGGAATATAATAAATTACCTATTGAATTTCGCTATTGTAATGCCAAATTTGACAGATAAACGAAATTTTTTACTAATTGCCACTGAAAATTATTACTTTTACCATACACCTGCTAAATCGTAGTGCCTCTGCTATAATATTTCATACCCATGTAATTTAACTGATTAGGCCTCTATGAAATATTTTATTTTGTGTGTTACTTCATGCAAGGGTCATGTGGTACGAAATTCCAATAATGACGGTACGTGATCCTAGTGATCACGCTGTAGATTAATCACATATGGTGTAAAATCACTGAAAATAAGTTTACAACCAAAGTTCTAGTTAATTTTAAATTTTTTTGTTGTTTTGCATGAAATTATAGAACTTTGAATAATGGAAAATGAAAACTTTCCACTTTGAACAGCGAAAAACTGACGCTTCAGCTTCACAGCAGGTCCATGTTGAGATGCTTTTATTCAGATTTTGGACACTCATATTTTGTCCTTGAAAACTTTCATGAATTAGTTCATCTTCAAGAAAAAAATCCCCCAGTTACAAACAGATTGTTATGACTAAATAATAGCTCCATGATCAGAATGACATTGGAATAAATGATTTTGTTGCGAAAAATAATATTGAAAAAAGTACACATACCTCCTTCTTCTAGAACTTTAACAATAAATATATAACAACCAAACTTTCATGAATGAGGGTTATTTTTAGGCCCCCAGTCCCCAGCGCAAAAAGGAACCACCTCCAAGAGAAAACAAACTCCGCCTTTTCTTGAAGAGGTCCTCTGAACCCCTGTTAAATTTGCAGAATGCTTCCCAACAGGTAGGTTTCATTGCTAACCAACATGAGATATAGCCTTAGCGCCCTATATATGATAGAATTTCTTGTAACCAGAAACCTTTTTTTTAAATATTGATTGATTAAAAACAATGCCCTCACGATAAAAACAATAATAGTATGATTTGTCATGAATATCTAATGCTTAAATGGTGTGTTCAGAAATTGGAGCTTTAGGTATTTTTTTTTATACATTTTGCACATGATTTCACTTGTAAGAAAAGGTTTATTCATAAATTCTAATATATTACTTCTATGGTGAAATTAATCGGCGTATACACTTATCACGTTGCTGGTTGCATGAAATTTGTAAAAATACATGAATAATATAAGGTTAGATGAAAGACCTAGATCGATTTTTGTTTATCTGGTATGTTATATATACATAGAGAGGCTTCACCCAGCAGCTGGCTCCTATCCAAGAGGTAATCCAACAGTTTCCTCTTCCAGATTCTGTCCGTCTTACTGCCTGCGAACGCCTGTCTTTCTATACCAAGTTCACTTAACAATATTTTGCGGTTTGGCTCCAACAAATATCTACTTGGTCGTTTATTTCGTGGACAGCGAGTTTTGAATATACAGGGTGTACCGAAATTCATGCAACAAAATTTGGTCACAGATTCAAATTTAGGGGACCCGTATTTTTTATTTTTGCCAAGTGGCCCCCTCTTTCGGAGTTACAGCCCCCTGAAGTCCACCCCTAAGAATAATCTTTTTTTATATCTTAGAATCCTGTTGTACGAGAATGACTAAATTTGGTACACAGGGGTTTTATGACATGTGGAATCTGTGACCAAATGAAAACCAAAATCCCCTTAAGACAATTTTTCGTGGTCCCCCTTGTCTTTGGAGCCAAAAAAATTTAGTCGCATATTTAAATTTCCTAAAAATTATCAGTCCACTAGAAAGCCATTAAATTTAGAAACTTTTTGTCTCTTTATACTTTTTTCGTAAAACGCAAAGTTTTCGAGAAAAATGTCAAAATGTGATCGAATGCATATGGTGATTCGCTATTTTCCTCAAAAACATTGCATTTTACGAAACAAGAGATCAAGAGACAAAAACGTTTCTGAATTCAATGGCTTTCTACCTAATTAATATTTTTTAAAAAAATCAAATTTGCGACCAAATTTTTTTGGTTCCAAAGACAAAGGGGCCCACGAAAAAGTGTCTTAAGGGGGTTTCTCGCCAAAAAGCGTAGCACTGTGAAATTCCACATGTCATAAAACTCCTGTGTACCAAATTTAGTGATTCTCGTACATTGTTTTGAAATATAAAACAGACTTCAGGGCGCTGTAACTCCGAAAGAGGGGGCCAGTTGGCAAAAAGAAAAAATACGGGTCCCCTAAATTTGTCTTAAGAATTTAAGACCAAATTTTGTTTCATGAATTTCGGGACACCCTGTATAGAAAACACTTTTAATACATATTTTTTCAACAAATGGTACTTCAACCACATAAAATACAAGTAATGAAAATGGGAAAGCTTCGAAGTATGCTAGAGAAAATGGAGCTGTTTATAATTTAACGATTACATTTTGTTTTTGTAACCTGTAAAAAATTTCCAACAAACTGAGAAAAGTTCTTTTGCTACCATCTTAAACGGATAACCCTCAAGAATACGAGCCAATTCCTTCAAATTATTCCTTTTTTTTAGTTAATTCAAATTAATTTTAAAAGTTGTCCCAATACACGGGGTGATTTTTTAATTTTCACTAAAACTTGCTTCACACTTTCGAACAAATAAATCAAACGGATGATTTTTCTCGCTACGATATATGTAATTGTAAAAAAAATGTGCTGAGTGAACTTTCGGAAGGACTCCTCAAAAGAATAGGAACAGTACGGTTATGAAGTTTCGGAACTTTGATTTTAGTCCATGTATACAGGGTGTTAATGATAAGTTTTGCCAAACTTTAATGGCGTATTTTACTGATGATATTATTCAAGTTTTACCCTATAAAGATTTTTGATAGGATGCTTCCCTACAGAGATACAGGGTGTTAAAAATTTTAAATACAGGGTGATTCACAACTTATCCAAAACAATTTGGGAATAGATGCGGCATGAGAAATGGAGTCAATATTGTAAAAAAAAAATTGTAAAATCCTTATAGTTTCTGAGAAAAGAATTATTGAAGTTATAGCACATTAAACCACTACATAGCTGGACAACTGTAGTCTCTACCGTGATTCGCAATACGCGTGGAGAGCCATGTGACTCCTAATACTGAAATCCTTCGTTGCGGTAGTTTTTACCTGTTATCTGTGTTATTTACATCAGTTTTTTAGTAGATAGTGTCAAAAATGGCTTGCGTGTATAGCAACACAGAGTTGATGGATATCGTTTTAATTTATGGTGAAGCAAGACAACATTTGTATTATGGTGAAGTATTTGTGTTATGGTGAAGCAAGATATCATTTGTGTTAGTTCGTAGAAAGTGAGTAAGACGGACCCAAATGTGTTTACACGTGAGTGGATAAAATTTTGAACAATTGCTGTTGCAGCATCGGGTATGTCAAATGATTTTATTATTTAAAAACACAAATTAATTTTATTAATTAATAACGGCAAAAGCAGTTGAATTTGCCGATATAAAATAGGTGCGATAAAATTCTATTTACATATTTCTTTCCTTGCGAAAGTTTTTGTCCGTTTTTATCACACCGTTTTACACTGGACCAGTTTCCAGTGCCGTGCAGAAGTGTATTTTTAAATCTATTTCGAACTGACCTTTTTGATTTTTTCTTTACAAAATTGTATTTGTAAGGGTCCCCTGTATATCCAGAATTTTTTTTTGGATTAGTTCTGAATCACCCTGTATATATATATATATATTATTTTTCCTGTAACTTCACTAGCATAAAAGATTGAATGATAAAATTTGGGAGATTACATTTTTTTAGTAGGGGCTATTTTTTTATAGATAACTTATTCCAAAATACATTCCAGTGGCGTAGTTATTGGGGAAGTAGGGGAACTCTTTAAAAAAAAAATCGTACACCACTGTTTTTTTAAATAATTTTAAATGTTATTAAAATGTACAGGCAATTTGTGACAAAGTATTCTTGTAAAGTATTCGTAAAATTTACTGGTCTTTAGATAATTGGGAAACTAAATAAGAAGATACTTAAGTACCTACCTTGCTATTTACCATTTTTTATTGATTGCTAAATGTGTAACAATAAATCCAATACCTAATATTTTTGAGAGATTTCAAAACACTATAGGTACAACATCACACTATACAACATCTCAAGAAATTAGGATACTTATTATTCAGTAACTGTCTGACGGTAAGGCTGTAATGAGGTGGCGCCCCATCATGCATATATACCACAATAATTGACGTAACCTCAATGGCACTTCTTCTAGAAGTGGTGGTAATTCTTGTAGGAACCTTTGATAAGTTCTACCATCGAGGATTCTGGGTAAAACGTAAGGACCAGTCAAGTAATCGCCCACAATGCCTGTCCAAACATTCACAGAAAACTGTTCTTGGAATCGACGTTGGGGAATAATATGCTGATATTCATCCGCCCATTGGTGGTTATTATGATGACAATTCGAAATGATAATTTTTAGCCCGGGAGGCAGCGACATTATTGATGTAATTATTCCTACAAAGCTGATTTTTTCTCATTTTGTTGTTTTGATATCGTAAGTAAACGGAACGGCAGTCTACCGCGCCAATGTGGGGGCAAACGTTAGTAACAATTTTTTAAACATGTAAATAAATAATACTTAAATGCCTTATACCTACAAGGCTGAAACTTTTTAGAGTGATCAATTATACCTAAAAATACAGTATAGTGATAGTCTACCGCGTCGGAAGGGGGGCCATCAAGGGTCTACCACCCACGCAAGGTGTTGAAAAATTAACTTTTTTGACTTATTTCTACAAGGCTGAATTTTTTTCTCAAATACTTTAGTTTATAAGAGAACCAAAAAAAAACAGTCTACCGATCATCTAAGGGTGCAAAGCCTTGATAGACGCAATGGAATGCACGATCTCCCGAGCGCAGTCGCTGCGCCGATTCACTGTAAGCCGCTCTGAATAATAACTCATACCGGGATTAAATTACAATCTACAAAGCTGCTTTTTTGTCTATAGATATCTTACAATAATTATTGTCAAATAAACGTCTTATACCTTCGATACGAGGTGGCTAAAGCTTCGGTAGACGTGGCGAAAGTTTTTGCGCGGAAGTTGCTTAAAATTCCAAATTTATTATTAATTATAATTTTTTGAGCTTACACCATTATTTAAACGTATGATATAGTAACAACGAGCGAGCGTTAGCGAGCGAGATTTTTGCTAGTATAATAGGTATTAACAAAAGTTAAAAAATTTTTTTTTTCAAATAACTGACCTTTTTCTTTTTTAACATTGAATAATTAAATTTATTTCACTTTTACTTATAATTTATAACAATAATACTTTTCGATAATAGCGCGCGAAATGCTTGATTTGCGATTCATCATCACATTCGTCAATTACACTCGTGCGAGAATTATTCTATCGCACTAGTATCGAACAATATTTTACGACACTTATTTATAAAATAAATGATAACAACGCAAATGTTTTTTATTACAACAATATAGTAATTATATAAAAAATAAATATATTTTTCTTATTCCTCATCGCTACTGACATTTGATTCCTCATCGCCTTCCATATCATCACTATCTTCATCCTCATCATCTTTCTGGTCACACACTCCATCATTTTCTTTAAGGTATTGACAACCGTCATTTGCAATTTCTGTATCTGCAAATAGCAATATATTATTAAATATTTATTATATTATGCTAACATAAATTCACCCCCTTTAGGGTCTGAAAGTCATTTTTTAATTGAGTTTTAGACTTCCTTAAAATGCAAATATGTGTACCTGAATCTTTATCGTTCTGTAGATCAAACGTCACATCATCGATTGACTGAGGCAATTGGTCGCCACTAAACCAATTAAAATCATATCT